AATACTATAGAATATATATATACATATAAGGAAAAAACTCACGTAGACATATAAAGCAGCATATGATCACCTGAAAACAATTGTCCTGACAAAGACCAGAGCATCTAACCCCCCAATAGAAGATATTTCTTCATCGGATGTCTCCCATGCCCTCACTATCCAACTAGGAGAAGGAACAAATCGTTCAAAGCCACAGGAGGGATCATATCGTTTCGATCGTACATGAGCAATCCGTTGACCAAAGTATACATCAAAGAGGCTTGGTTGTTTCCTTAAAACTGAATATAAACAGAAGCACACCACACACACTGCTGTGTTGATTCCAGCAGAAGTCAAAAGTGCAGATAATATCATCTTTATGCAATTTACAATCTATAATATCAACACGCTTCATTGCCAAAAATGGTAGCAAGTAGCGGCATCCATTGAATGCTTGATGCCTGACAAAGTTCAAAAGATAAGTTGACTAAACAAGTTCAGCACCTATAGAAACACAACTGCTGCTAGTGAAAACAAAATGTTATATGTCACATTTAATTAACTTTCAGTTTGTCTTAATAAAAATAACACCTCGATCCGGCAAATGAACAGATCTCAACTAAGTCACTTTAGAGAATGCCGAAACTGCTAGTTTCTCGTTTTGACATTGAATAGTTGCTTATTTTAAGAGGATTTTGGTAGTAATTCAGATCAACTTAAAGTAATACATATCTTAACTATACATGTTGTTTTAATACAGTTTAACCATAAATACAGTTTAAGGTAAATTATCAAATGAAAATCAAAAGCAAACACAACTAAACAACATTGTACCACATACATGTGTTAATTTTTGTTTTTTTGTTAATCTATGTTAGGTAATTGTGAAATATGTTGATCTCTATTCTCTGTTGATTTGACTGTTTTGTTATTTTTATTGAGTGTTAACGCTTTTGCATTGCTGCTGCCAAACATGAAGGACTTAATATTACCAATTTGAGTCTTCATTAAGATTTTCTGAAACAGGCTAGTCTCAACAAATTCTTTGAGTTTTTATAAATTTCTCAGCAATTCTTCAAAATGCCAATAAGCATATGGGAGAGTATTCATTGGAACAGATATTCTACTGCAATCTTTTGTCTCCGTCAAAAAATCATGCCATGTTCAAAAGTGACAATGAAGACAATAAATATTATGAATAAAAAACAGATGGGTCAATCATGAAGTTATGCCATTGACTTCAATTGAGTCAGATAAACAAAGAAATGATTCTCAACTGTACTGAACTACATTTCATCCCATCATTCACATGTAAATCCAAGCATTAAAAAAGCGCAACTTTCAACGAGACCAAATAAAGACAAATCATTTTTTGCTGGAAACAAAACCCACACAATCCATCATCCATAGATCAAGGGATTCCAGCAGTAAGCAGGAGATGATTGAAAAACAAAGAGAAGGTGGAATTACCTGGGATTAGGCGTAAAATCTGAACCGCAAAACCATATCAGGAACGGATTCTAAACAGAGCTTCAAATATTGAAACTCAAATCAAAATATAAAAAATAAAAGATGAAACCCTAAATGACGCGAGGTTCTGGCAAACTGCGTCGTGGGCTTGCCAGCGAGAAATACGATGGTTGGCAATCGGCTCCGACGAGACGATTTCGCGTGTGGAAGAAGAGTGGGGATTCCGGCGGGTCCAACTGTTTTGCCACGTGGAGCGCTGAGAATAAGTTGGCTGTACATAAGAAACTCCGCGAAAAAACGACCTACCAACTGTCACTTTTCTGTTGCTTATGGAAAAACTTTGTGCAGACAACTGGACATGACACGCGTTTACTAGTTTGACTCAAATCAGCGAATCGTTGACCTGACTGACGATGCAGCAAATTGTTGGACAATTTGTTATGTTTCGCACGCCAATTCAATGAAAATTTACTACGGTAATTTGATTTGCACGTCATATTATTGTCCAAAATCTTTGTTTTTGCATCTAATCCCGTATTAAATAATAAAATCTCCATCAATCAGGAATATATTGAAGACCAACTGAATTGCTAATATAATAGACTAATATATTTAGGAATCTGTCTAATATATATTTAGGAATCTGTCTTCTATTTAGGAATACTTTGTATTTTGGCAACTCCTCTATTATAAATATATCTGTCAGGATTCCTATTGGAGTACCTTTTTCCCATTATTTCACATGGTATCAAGAGTTCTAGGTTTGTAGATACAATTTTTTTCTTTTTTTTCGGTTCCCATGAACCTTATTATAGCCGCCGCCGCCTCGGGGTCGACTACCGCCACATTTACGGTAGTCTCTGATCCTTTGAAGATGAGCGCGGCTAATATGGCGCAGATCACCTCCTTCGCGTCGCTGAACACGGTGCTTGCTTCTAACGTGCCGTTGAGTTCGCCGTCTGCTGTTGCCTATGTTCGCGCAGCCCACCTTCTCTGTGTCGCTGACCACGGTGCTTGCTTCAAGCGCGTTGTTGAGTTCGACGCTTGCTGCTGCAGACATGTATTCTCATGGAGATCATATTATTAAAGATGTGCCTTCTAATCTTCCGCTCACGGATATATTTACTAAGAGTTTTTTTTAGTTTGCAATTTCATTTTTTAAAGGACAACCTGCGCGTTGTATCTCACGCACAGTTTGAGGGGGTGTAATAGACTAATATGTTTAGGAATCTGCCTAGTATATATTTAGGAATCTGTCTAATATCTATTTAGGAATACTTTGTATTTTGGCAACTCCTCTATTATAAATATATCTGTCAGGACTCCTATTGGAGTACCTCTTTCCCATTATTTCACATAATAGAGGACATTTTTGTCTTTTCATACGAGGTTGGGGTGCGAATTGAAAACAAAGATTTTTAAAAACGGAATGCAAAGCCCAATTCAGATAATAATATGGGCGTGCAAACTCAAATCACTCCAAATTCAGATTTACTTTTTGAGTTCCATTTTTCCAGTTGTTTTTAAATTACTCGATTTCAAAGTTACACAAATTGAATAATGCTGAATAATCGTTATTATAGCTGAAATATTGTGATGAAAATAAGTTTTTTTCCGCAAGTATTTATTCATTTCTTTCTACTTTCTTATGCCCCATCCAAACGGAATGTGTGTTATAATTCTACATTTGAAATGATAATGTCAATGAAAATGGTAAATGTAATGACATTGATAATGTAATAGGCAGTAGTAATTGTTTAGTAGTAGTGTGATAGTTGTGTTCTTGTCATAATTTTTTTGAGTGGTTCCCTTGTACCCTTTTAGTAGTGCTCACTCGTGACTATTTGTTTCATTCTGGTCTCTTTATGTATAAAAAATCAATTCTTAATTGTAATTCTGACATAAATATTACTATAAAGCATGTTATGGTTTAAAAAGGGATTTTTTTATTTTCAAAAATGTGATTAAACGCCTGAATCTGGAGATTACTAACTATGGGCTTAGGCCCATTCCCACATACTCTAGATTCTAGAATCGACCCAAATTCATCTAACTACACCCTCGTCTGGGGCCTCGGCCAAATGAGGACGCACACAGAAAAGAGTAACCAAAACCAAGCAAAAACCACACATAACACTGGATAGTTTACACTTTTATTTCTAATTATATACTTCGTATGTACATATATGATATATTGGTTTACACTTTTATTTTCCTAATTATAGTTTAGTGATAGTTAAAATACAAAAATAATCATCTATATATCTAGCATCTAATTATTTCTTATTTTTTTCTTGACTTTCTTTTCCTTTTTCTATTGTGACATTCTTTCTCCTTGTTGAATTAAAACAAAACATGCAGATAGACTTTGCACATACATATATTAAGAATTTTTTTCCTTTGTAGGTTCCTAAAATGCTTTCAAGAGCAAATTTTACTGTATAGTACACTATTTTGACACTGTTTGACATCAGTTGACACTGTGGAGTCATTATTACTTTATAGTATTAGAGTAAGTTGATACAATTTTGTTTACCAAATAAGAAAAGAGACATTTTTTAGGGACATCCTTAAAAAGAAAATAAGAAATTCTTTAAGGAATGGGGGAAGTATTTTAGAAACCAATTGCAACAAATGTAAATAAGTCAAATAAGTACTAAAAGGTTAGAACTCCTAAAGCAACAATCTAAAAATGAAATGGCATGTTATCAAAAGTGTATGGCATATTGGCATTTAAAAGTGTAAATGTATATAGGTAAAAAGGGGCAAATAAGCCCTCGAACTAACCAAAAAAAGTGCAAATCACCCCTTATATAAGAGGTTCTGTCCGGCCGTCGTCATTTGGGGTGGTTCCCGGTGGAATTTTTTGATGAATTTTTTTGAGCATCTTCTTCATTAAGTCTAGTTTAACCATACCAAATTTAAGCTAAAAATAAAACCGAGAAGGCAGTCAAATGATTTTCTGAAATATACTATGATGTTTAACTGCGCAGTTATCTTCAAAAATTCATTTGACTGCCTTCTCGATTGAATTTTTATCTGAAATTTGGTATGGGTAAACTAGACTTAATGAAGAAGATGTTCACATAAAAAAGTTTCACTGGGAACCGCCCCAAATGGAGACGACCGGACAGAACCTTGTATATAAGGAGTGATTTGCATTTTTTTTGTTAGTTCGAGGGCTTATTTGCCCCTTTTCCCATGTATATATGAGCTAAGCTTGCACGGGACCATAGCAGGAAACTAGTTTCAATGTCATCCTCAGATGTCTGATTTCATCTTAATAGAATCATATTTTGTCAACAATCTATTTATAATTTATACTGCATATTGTATTACGATTGAATATTGCAGCGTGTGATATATGAGGTGTTTGGATCTGCTTCTTAAACTGATTATGTTCCTTCAGAGAGCAAAAGTAGTTTTTTTAGAAGCTGAGGAAGACCAGCTTCTAAAAACTGATTCCGATTCTGCTTTTAAAAAAGAAGAAGCAGAATCAATTCCAAACACCCCAATAATCCAATATCCACCCTCAAATTGCTTTGTCAATCTTCGACAAGAACATGTGACTTCCCTCATTAATTCATTTTCTCCGAGTACTGCAGAGAAAGAAAAGAAACACTAGTTTTGCTCTGCTTCATCTTTTGATTTAAAAAAATCTCTGAAGCAAAGAACCTATTAATTCAAAATACAAAATATTCTAGTCAAAGGCCTATGGGAACATCCACTTGTGATGCACTACTATACCTATTGAATTACAAACAAAATGAAGCAAAATCTATTCTATACCCACCCTATAGAAAAAAGAAGTGTTTATTATAAAACTACAAACAATACTACAAGCAAGACTCTTTACTACCAGACGGCTGAAGTTCATCAAAAAGAATATCTCCACCAAAATTTTGTTTGGTTTGCACAAAGAAGCGCCACCATCACAAATAAGAATTAATAATCTGGTGGTGCAAAGGTACCAGGTAAAGACTGTGTTCTGCTCTTCATTGTTTCATTTTGATTCATCAATTATAGGACTTGAGATGAAATATTTGGCAAGTTGGATGATATGATCTTTTCACTGCAGCTTGCTCAAACTTCTTACTGGCAGCATCATTTTGCTCTAAACTTGTCTCAATAAAATACCGGATCCACCAAGTAGAGCTGCGTAGTTTTGCCTGCAAAATAAGTCAGCGTCAAATTATTAACTTTTGTGTTATTTCTCCCCTAATGCGTGGAAATGCAAGAAGCTATATTCTAAACTTTTTTGGGTTGGGAGGGGGGACATATACTCAAAACCCTAAACATGGGCGCCTATTCGCCGTACTAGTATGACTAGAAAAAAGAAGTCTATATCCCCAGTAACCCAGAGATGGTTCTCAAAATGAGACCAAAATGCAGAAGTAGCTGTTGACGGTTCTCTTGGCCCTATAGTTTAGAGATACGTTGTATGAGCGTCAGCTCAATCAGTACCTACTTTATTGTTTGCTTAGTTTTATTACTGTCCTTATCATGTTGGTCTATAACTTTATGCTTTTTACACCTTCTATCATTTGCCTTCATTTCACATACAATTTTATCTCAATGTACATACTACATTTCACCTTTGGATATCTTTTTTTCTACCTCAAAATTTTCTGCTCTTTTGACCCAATCCACCTTCTCTCTTTTTTCTCTTTCTCTCTCGTTTTCTTTTATCGTTTATCTTCTTTATATTTCTATGTTCTTATGTTATTTTTATCTTTTATCTTTTTTATGCTCTTTCATCATTTTAGCTTTTATCTTTCTTATGTTCTTATGTTATTTTGATCTTATATTTATCTTTATTTTATCCACTTTATCTTACTTTATCTTTTTATTCTTGGAGAGATATGCTTTAATTGTATGTGTCTTACTGCAAATTTTAAGTCGCAAAGATCATATGATCTGATATACTTCTTGTAGTTTCACATACTTTGCGATAGTCTACTTAAAAGTTAAAACACATGAAGCTTGACTATAAGAAGGCTGAAACTTGACATTAATTAAAAAAATCATCTCTATCGATTGAAATATTGCAAGGTTATCTGGAAAAAAGAAGAATAGACAACACCTTACAAGGGGAAATGCATTTATTTATATAAAAAAAGCTATTTAATCTTATTTAAAATTAAGATTGAACCTATTTTATTTATAATAAAAAAAAGCTCAAGAATTATCTAAAAAGGTCTGAAAGTGAATGACCCTCCACCGAACCTCAACAAATTACCAGCTCATCATAGTCGTCACCACCTTAATTGTCTAAATGTAGTTACGATTACATATATTCATACAAAAAGAACATAGTTGTGAGATTTTACACCGTATACCCCTTCCAACGGGTTAAATGCATAAATGGTATCTCAACTATTGGTAATGTTGCATTTTGGTACCTTAACTCTTAAATGAATCAAAACGGTACCTTAATTATACATAAATGTTTCGAATTGAGATTTTATTCAAATTTCCGACCAAAAAATTACATGTGGCGGTCAGAATTCTATGCATAAAGTCTACTTCACCTTATTTTTGTCCATATGATCACTATAGGGTGACTACGCATGAAATTTTGATCGTCATGAAGGACTTTTTTGTTAAAAATTTGAATAAAATCTCAATTCGAAACATTTATGTATGGTTAAGGTACCGTTTTGATTCATTTAAGAGTTAAGATACCAAAATGCAACATTACCAATAGTTAAGGTACCATTTATGCATTTGACCCCCCTTCCAACCTTGTTCTAGATGAATAAAGATATAAAATTCCCAAACCATCATCATCAAAGACTACTCTCTCCACTTGCAATGGAAATATCATGAGATGGCTATGATTTAAGTTAGTTGTTATGGTATATTACATTACGAAATTGATCAACATGCACACCATGGAACATTGACCTAGCAAATCAACAATTGTGGTTGGGAAATCAACCCAATATAATTTGTAGTAATATAGCAAACACTCTTCTTACCTGTGAAGAGAACAAGGCCATTTGAAGATACCCTAGCCATTTCAGGAAGTGTTCTGTTGAGGTACTTAGGTGACAAGTAGTCCAATGCATCAGACACAATCACAAGATGAAATGACTTTGCTCGGTATGGAAGAGGAAACTTAATATCAGCCACTCGTACAATGCCCTTTTTCACAAGTCTCTTGCATTGAATATCAGCATCCTCAATATCATAGGGCTCCACACCCCAAGCTTCAGTGTCCTCATCTGTTAATAGTTTGGAAATAACTGAGCAAGTGTCAGGGCCAACGTGCAACACTTTATGCATGCTGTCACCATATGCCTTTTTCAGATAAGGAATTGCTCTTTGAACATCACTATTGCAAGAAAAGTCAGCTGCATCAATGAAACAGGTTAAGGATATCTTCTTCTAATCTGTCTATGCACATAAACACATTTTTTTTGAAAGAAACTTAAAAACAAAAATGCAACAACTTCATCTGAAAGATATACACTCTGCATATTATAAATTTTATTTATGACAAAGAGTAGGACAAGTTTAGGTTGCCATTTGGTAACTACTATTTTTGTTTATCACAAATGTTTTTTGGCAAACAATGCTTTATTTGCATGCAGTAGCTAAATTGGATTATAATAGTAATAAATATGATAAAAATACCAATATGTCATTAGTGATGATGATGATAATAATATTAAGTAATGTGTGTGTGCCTTTTGGGTGAAATAGTTTAAATGAAGATAAATGATGCTACTTATTTTTAGATATGAGTTATTGTAATAAAAAAAATGAAATAGACTCACAGCCCATTCTCCACTTCAACCAAATAACCCCTGGTAAACAGGCTCTAACTCTCTAAGATATGCTTATCTCACTCAATAATGAAGTGAAACGTTCCGTCATTAAAGGATATGTGACCTGATAGCATGCATTTTGCATGTTATCAAACTTTAGTTTCATTTTAAAGAGAAAATTAGCTCCCATCTCAATTTCATACGGAAAACATTCCAAACAAGCAAACATCACTGAGGAAATTCAAATTAGACTCGACAATACGCAAGTGAGTTAGTCCAACAGCTCCTCATAAGCATGTCCTCTAAATTAAAAGTAGGGAAACAAATAATTCAAACAGGGAAGTAAACTAAAATGCCAGGATACTATGCCAAGTTTTTAATGAGGCCCAGGCTTGTAGGGGAGTTGTAGACACAATAGTAAAACAATATGCAACAAGGTTAGTCAATTGATTAACATCACTAAATAAGTAAACTCCAGATTGGAGAAAAGCCTAATAGTATCAATATCAGAGAACAACTATCTTTTAACGTAAAAATAATACATAACACTAACAAAAAATCCCTAAAAAAATAGGACACTAAGAATGAATAAAATTTACCTTCAACTCTGCCGAGACCTCGTATATCACCACCTATTAAGCAAACATAATTGCTTGGTCAGCGCAAGAGAGATCAAAACCAAAAAATATACTGGTGAATGAATATTATGATAGACTGATACAAAATACAAACATTACTGGACGAGAATTCCAATTTCATTAATAAAGCGATGGCAAAAGTTGAAAATGTAGGTCAGCATGCATGGTACTTTACTGCATTGAGGATTGAAATATATAGCAATACAGATTCAGAACCATTTATAAACAGTTTCAATACATGTTATTTATTAGCAAACAATGTCATTGTGATATTTAGGATATATATTCATTCAGTGAGATGGGAGAATGTGTTGCTTTTCACAGTACAGTGCAGACAGCTATTAAGAAATTAAACATAGTAACCATATATGTGTATCCATACAATGTATTAGAATCTTAAATGTAGCTGCTCTCCAATAATTGGGGATAGGACAAATACAAACCTGAGTCACGACGGTAATATCCTATAACAAGAAATACTCCCTGGAAATTGAAAAGGAATGAAATGGTATATCAATAGCAGTGCAACATATTGGTAATTAGTAATGGAATTTAAAAATATTATACTTCGTGCATAACAACAAATTTGGTATAATCCATGTTTGTGAATCAGTAGAACCCAAAGTTACAGGTAATGGAACTAAACAATATAGAGGAAAGTACCACAACAATGAGCCCAATTGACAAATAAGGTGGAGAAAATGTCTTAGAGCGAACAGATGCTCCCAATGAAGCAGCTCCTCCAGCTGCAGCACGCCGTGATGGATTGATTGGCCTCCTTGACATTGCTATAAGTTTCCACCTGATCAAAATACAACTCACTAGTTAGCATAGAGTAACCTATGAATAGTGACAAGTCTATTGTATAGCAATCAATGATTAAAATTAATTTGGTAATATCCCATTTTGAGCAAACACCCAAAGTTACAAACATGGTTAAAGGACTCTTGAGGTACACTCATTCAATCATTACACGCACTATATAAATTATGGAGTACCAAATGAACAAAAAAGATGAAGGAGGAACAACCATCTGGCCTAATCTGGCCATTCTCCCATGATCAAGGAGGCAAACATGTCACATTGACACTCTTATGGATAAAGAACATAATAGTCCCAACTCCCAAGAATGTGATTTTTCAAAAAATAAATGAAGCGATTGATAAATGATAATCCAATCTCTTACTACTAGAAGGTCTGGATACCTCTTAAAACTCCAGAGTTACCTCTAACAGCATTCAAATCCCCAAGAAAGCGAATGACAGACATATGCAATAAAAAAATATGCTAACCATTAAAATAAACCAATCAAATATGCAAAGAAAAGTGCATATTCGCATCCATAGGGAATTGCTCAGAACAAAACAGATTCGATTTTTTGTCACTTCCTGGCGGATTGCGAACGTAGCTACCATATTTCCTGAGATTATCCTTACCCGATAAGAGATAACCCGATTCAAGATCCGAATTTTCAATACTGGGTCCTCATTGTATACATGAGAGTAAGATCCGTATAACAGTGTAATGCAATACTGTTTAGGGAATCGTTGAATCGGTGCCTTGAGTGTTCCTTCCGGTATTTAGTTTCGTTAGGGGTTCTTTTCGAAATTCATCTAGCATTTTTATATCAGAGGAAAGCTGGTAACTTGTCAGTAATTTGGAGTGTCGGCGACTCAATCGTCCTGGGAACACCCGCTATTTTACATAGCCGCGTGAATATAAGTCGTTGACAAATGGAAAATTCCCTTGTACTTGTACACGACACTTTTTACACGTAGATCATCTGTTTACACATAATTTGATTGACGTTTTATGAAAACAACCAATTTTCACACAGACAAAATTAAAAATTTGTTCATATCACAAACATTTTAAAATTCTTATTTAAAATTGTTTGTAACACAAACATTTTATGAAAAATTCTTGTCTAAAATGTATGTGATACAGACAACTTTCTATTTTTGTCTGTGTGGAAATCAATTTTCTTCATAAAACCCCGGTCAAATTGTCTGTGTACATAGACAATTTGACCGGCGTGTAACTGGACGTTTACATGAAGCGGGACTCATGTAAAATAACCATTCTTTCTTCTTGGTGTATACATAATTTGTACATGCGCACATTTTCCTGTTTACAAGGATAACTGCCGTTTTTTCTACAAGAAACTTGTCAAGTGTGTACAAATTATGTATACAAATAGAATTTTTCACATTTATTACTTCTGGACAAGTGAATCATAAATTTCTTGGAGGAGCTCCTTGAGACTCTCAATTTGAGATCTTTGAAATTTTTGGGTGAAGATGTTTTTCGAAGGATAGTTTATATCCATAAAATTTTAAATTAAAATTTAATCGAGAGTTCGGTTAAATAAATTATTGAAAAAATTACATTTTTCTATAGATTTCGGAGCAGTATTTTTAAATAATTCATTTAACTTATTTCCTGATTTTAATTTTAAACTGAAACTTTGTGAACATAATCTACACTTCATGAAGGACATGCTCACAACTTTTCATCAAAAAAATTCACCCGGAAAAGTAAATTATTATCGTGATTATTACGCAATTCAATGCGCAAAATAAAAAATTACATATTTAAAGAAAACTTAAAATTAACAATACGTGGTTAAATTTTTTTTTGAGAGGAATATGTGGTTAAAGTTATTAACTTTACTTTAAGAAAACTTTTTAACTTTCCTTATTTAGTCATCCTAAAAAGTGTAGTTGTCTTCAATTAAAATAAAAAATATGTTCTTAATGCACAAATCTCAAATACGTGACTTTTATTTTATTAGTTTCTAATTTTGGTCAAGTTTCGTGGAAAGGAGACTCAAAGAGTACGTGTTACTTCAATATTTTCTATGTTTATGTATGCAAATACTATAAATATTTACGCAAGTATATTACTTTTATTGAACACTTTTTATCATCATCATCATTACCCCAGTGTCGCAAAGGCTCTCGCCTATGGTGGGATATAGGAGTTGGATGTACGCAGTCTTACTCATGTACTAAAGCACATAGAGATTGTTTTCGGATGACCTATAGTGAAAATTGCGTCCAAAATTGTATGGACTGACTGCTACATCATAACAAAGAAGCGCAGACAATTTAGTGAGTCATTTTGCTTTATTACATTAAATGTACGACGTATGTGCGAACTAAAGTCATAAACAAAAATGTTACAAATATTGACATTATGCACACAGACGTAATTAAGCATATGTGATTAGATATTAATTGTATTTGTGATCAAATTACAAATCTTTAAAATTAAATTGTTCACATGTACACGATTTGTTTGTGAGCTAATTTTATTGACAATAATTGCATGTAACCCAACTTGACACGATGAATACATAATATGCACAAATGTCATTTTCCTGAAATGTATTGCGTTCATTTTGTAATGTCATCTCATATTCCTTATGTCAATTATTATAGTCATATTTTCTTTTTTCACATAAGCCTAAAGTAAGCTTTATTTTCTTTAATGAAAAAGACTACGTAGTTTTTATTACTTCTCTCATCTCTAGACACATTTCAACTACATAAATCAATTAATAAACTTCTTAAACATAAATCTTTTCGGTTAAGACTAAAACATCAAGCTAAGTAGGAACCCAAATATGAGCTTCTGAACTTTATTTCAGTGTGATCATATCACTCTCCTTGCAAAATATTTTGCTATGAAGGATTTGGATAATCTATATTTTTTGTTGGTGTTCGATTGAGCATACTTCTAGTGATCTTTTTATATCTGAGCATAAATATATGTTCTTAACTTATTAAAAGGTCCCTACAAACCTCTTCCTACTCATACCCCACTTTCTCTACAACTTAATTCAGCAGGCACCGGCCATGCACACACGACCAACAGTGTATATATCCGGCCTCCTCGCCAAGTTGAGGTTGCCGTCTGCTGAGGGTTATATCTGACCACACCTCATCAATCAATTCCGATGCGAGTCTCTTCCCTCAGCTCCCACAATGCCGATCCTATCTGAACTCGGGTCTGAGTCGAGCTTCATAAATGGGTCCATACATAGTACTTTTTATCATAGAGTCATAAAAATTCAATGATTAAATATAACAAAAACGCAATTCTTAAATTAAAATCTTACATTATAGCAAAAAGAAATTGGATGTATTAAAAAACTAATTAAGTACAACTCGTCGAACATTTTTAAATGCAAATGTATTAATCAAGTCTGCATGATCTATATTATCAATAAATTCGTTTTTAATTGATAATATAGCTAATCCAGTCAACCTTTTTGAGACATGTTTGAAGATGTACTCCCTGAAGTGGCTTTTTTATTCGAAATCAAGTAATACACACTTATTAATGTTTCTGACTTGGAGATATTGATGCAATACATGATTTTATTTTCCTCTTTTAAAATTGAAACAAAGATTTATGAGGCATGGTACTAATAAATAAATAAATAAATAAATACATAATTTAGTGGAATCATTAACAATATAT